ATCTTATAGTTAGGATAGCCTTATGCCTATCCCACGCATGCTTAAGCTCCTTTACTGTGTTAACCTCTACCACTTCAGCTGGAAGGCTATTCCATGCATCCACTACCCTCTCAGTAAAGTAATACTTCCTGATATTATTTTTAAACCTTTGTCCCTCTAATTTAAGAAGTTCTTTGTTATAAGTTTGTGTGCCAAAAACCCCCAAAAACTAAATTTTACTCTAATATTTAGCAGAGATTGGCGGTGAAATTGCTACGTAGAAAGTGTCAAAACAACCTTAGGATAATATAAATATATACTTTTGTGTGTCAATTTTGTTTTCTTTTATGGCTATTAAGCTTACAAGACAAACATACCAAATTCTAAAATCGCTCCACATTAAAAGTTTATGTTACTCCTTGTGCTTTGTGACCTGTAACCAGTGGCGTACTAAGGGGGGGGCGGAGGGGGCGGTCCGCCCTGGGTGCCACCAGGGTGAGGGGTGCCATGACCAGCCCCGACCCCCCCCATGCTGCAACCGCCCAAGCGCTCTGTAGAGAGCCTCAGGCGGCTGCAGCTTTGCCCGGGCGGTGGGTCCATGAGGGCGGACTGCACCGCCCGGGCGCAGCCTGAGGAGAGGGGCTGACAGTAGGGAGCGCTCAGCGCTCCCTCCTGTCAGCTTCCTTTGCTGTAGCGTGGCCGAGCCCTGCAGCATGATGGTCCGACGGGTACAGAGAGCAGCTGTCTCCTGTACCCGGCCGGACTAACAGGAAGTACACACAGAGTGTGCACTTCCTGTTAGTCCGGCCGGTACAGGAAAACAAAAAGCCAAAGAGGGGAGTAAAAAAGAGAAAGAAGGGGAGAAAGAGAAAGAAGGGGAGAAAGAGAAAGAAGGGGTGAGAAATACAAGAGAAAAAGAGAAAGAAGGGGGGTGAAAGAGAAAGAAGGGCAGAAAGAGAAAATTAGAAGGGGTGAAAAGAGAAAGAAGGTGGGGTGAGAGAAAGAGAAAGGAGGGGGTGTGAGAAAGAGAAATTAGGAGGGGTGGGTGAGGAAAGAGAAAGAAGGGGTAAGTGAGAAAGTGAGGAAGGAGGGGGTGAGAAAGAGAAATTAGAGGTGTAAGTGAGAGAGAAATTAGGGAGGGGGGGTGTGAGAAAGAGAAAATAGGAGGGGAGAGAAATTGAAATTAGGAGGGGGGAGAGAAATTAGGAGGGGGGGGATGAGAAAGAGAAATTAGAGGGGGGGGGAGAAAGAGAAATTAGAGGGGGGAGAAAGAGAAATTGGGAGGAGGAGAAGGAAATTGGAGCGGGAGGAGAGATTGACATTCATCACATACACACAATGCACCCCTTGCACACAGAAAAACACACAATGCATTACACACACAGACACACATACACAAGCAATGCAACCGTTACACACAATGCATCCCTTACACACACAGAAACACACAATGCATTCATTACACACACTCAATGCACCCCTTACACACATTCAATGCATCCCATACATACACAGAAACACACCTTGCAGCCCTTACACATACAAACACAATTTCACACAATGCATTCCTTACACACATATCAGGACATCCCCTACACACTCCACCCCCTGTGAACAAACTCATTGGTGGAACATGAAGGTGGACCCTGGGACCCAGACCTTGAGCTGTGTAAAGGACCCCCCAAAAAATGGAGCTGCTTCCCGTTCTCCCAGAACATTGATTTTTGTGACCACAGTTACAAACCGCCTCCAGAGAGCCTGTTCTGCACCAGACCAGTGGAGCCAGACTGCAGCTAGAGCCCATCATCATCCTCATCTGGTTGTAAGTAGGCAATCTAGTATATTATTCGTGGCACTAAGCTCTAATTTACCTCACATTAAAGAAACACTATAGTCCCCAGAACCACTTCAGCTTAATGTAGTGGTTCTGGTGTCTATAGCCTGTCCCTGCAGGCCTTTTAATGTAAACACGGCGGCACTGCAGCACTGGCGTTAGTTAACATGGCAAATCACATGGGTGGGGCATTGTGATGTCACATGGGGGGCGGCAAACTTTACTTTTGCCTAGGGCGGCAAAAATCCTTGCACCGGCCCTGGCTGGAGGGGGCTGTGTGAGCTGTGGCCGCACAGTGTCCCATGGTAGTTAGGGTGCCGTGCTCACACAGCTCACACAGCTCACACAAGCAAACAGCTGATAAACTGGCCGCACGGAGGAAATGTGTATGTGTGACTGTCTGCCTGTGACTGTGTGTTACTGTCTGCCTGTAACTGAGTGTGTGACTGTCTGTCTGTAACTGAGTGTGTGACTGTCTGCCTGTAAATGTGTGTGTGGGGCTGCAGGGATTTTGTAGAAGGGGGCAAGGGTTTTGTATTGGGACAGGAGTCTTTATAAGGGGGGATAAGCAGGGGATTTGTGGAAGGGGGTTGCGGGGGTTTTGTAGACGGGGCAGTACAGGATTTGTAGAAGGGGCAGGACAGAGGTTTTGTAGGAGGGGCGGGCAGGACAAGGGTTTTGTAGGAGGGGCTGACAGCGGTTTTGCAAAGTTTACAAATTGTAAAAAAAAAAAGAAAGAAAACCTTTAACATTTTTTACAGGTTATTTTTTTTTTGGATGGGGGGGGTTGGGTGCCAAGCATAGGATCCACCCCGGGTGCCAAATGCTCTAGGTACGCCCCTGCCTGTAACTACCAAAAAAAACGTAAAATCCCAGACGCATTATATATTCTGTAAATCAGAACAACTAAATGAATTTATTTTTAATTACTTTCTATAACCTGCACTAATTAGGCACACATTATTGCAAAAACTGTACAAAAGACACAATATTTTTTAGTATTTTTTAGTATTCTTTAAATAATAAATAAGCATTTATGTATATATATATATATATGTTACATCAAATTAAATCCCTTTCTGTCCTTTAAAAAAACAGTATATACCGTATTTTTCGCTCCATAAGACGCACCTCACCATAAGACGCACCTAGTTTTTAGAGGAGGAAACCCAGAAAAAAATAATATTCTGAACAGTTCCATAGTGTTTCTTACTATGGGACAGTTTGTTCAGAATATTTTTTTTAAGGATTTTTTTGTTCCTTACCACCCACTCCCCTCTCCTGTCCCATAATGATCTTTAACCCCCTCGCCTGTCCCATAGTTATCTTTAAACCCCCCTCCCCTGTCCCATAGTTATTTTAACCCCATTTTCCTCTGTCCCATAGTGATTGATAACCCCTCCTCCCCTTGTCCAATAGTGTTCTCATCCCATAGTGTCCCCCCCCTTGCCCCATAGTGCACTTTCCCCCCCATAGTGTCCACCCCTCCCCTTGTCCCATACTGTCCCCCCTCCCCTTGTCCCATTGTGTCCCCCTCCCTTGTCCTATAGTGTCCCCCTCCCCTTGTCCCATAGTGTCCCACCCTCCCCTTGTCGCATAGTGTCCCACCCTCTCCTTGTCCCATAGTGACCCACCCTCCCCTTGTTCCACAGTGTCCCACCCTCTCCTTGTCCCATAGTGTCCCACCTCCCCTTGTTCCATAGTGTCCCACCCTCTCCTTGTTCCATAGTTTCCCACCCTCTCCTTGTCCCATAGAGTCCCCTCCCCTTGTCCCATAGTGTTTCCCCCCCTCTCCTTGTCCCATAGTGTCCCCCCCTTGTTCCATAGTGTCCCCCCTCTCCTTGTCCCATAGAGTCCCCCCTCCCCTTGTCCCATAGTGTCCCCCCCTCTCCTTGTCCCATAATTACTTACCTGTCTTGTAGCGTGGGCCGGCTTCAAAGTGCGCTCCGCGGTACAGGAACTTCAATTTCAGGTTCCGGTTTCTGGCGGGACTGAAAGGAAGTGTGCACACTGAGTGTGCACTTCCTTTCAGTCCCGCCAGAAACCGGAACCTGAAATTGATGTTCCTGTACCGCGGAGCGCGCTGTGCTGCTGGCCCACGCTACAAGACAGGTAAGTAAAGCTTCACATTCGCTCCATAAGACGCACAAACATTTCCCCTCACTTTTGAGGGGAAAAAAAGTGCATCTTATGGAGCGAAAAATACGGTAATATGTGTCGGTGCAATAAACGAGAGAGATGCAAATTGCAGTTGAACGCATACAGCAAGAAAATGCAAAAATTGCTATAGTAAATCCTACAAAACCATTAAAAAACACCAGGACAGGATGTTGTGGATAATTTAATGCTTCTCAATTTTTTTTATTTTTTTTTAAATTGTATTTTATACATTAAACTATTAGCATATTCATAGTGATATTATTGTTTTTAATTTAGTACAAAGAGCTTAACATATTTATAAATACAAGTATAGGATTTCACCCATATTGGGTGGAGATTTCTTTTAGAATAAGTAATAAAAGAGATGTAGATTTGCAAGATTTGTGAAAACACATGCCATGTTTTTGGTTTGCTTAATAGTTGTGGACATCGATAAATATCAAAGTTCAATTGATTTCTGTATACAAGAGCTTAGACTGGCTACTTATTATTGTATTGGTTAGAAAAAAAAAATTGAATTTTTTTCCACAAAAAAAAAAAAACAGACAGTCTGTCTGCCTGCAATAAAATCATTTATATTTGTAGGCAATATTTTAAAATTTAGAGTAAAAACTTCAAACCTTAAGTCTCAATTTATATGACGTCCTAAAACATTATATATTGTTGAACTTAAAAAATAATTGACAAAAAATAATCAATCATGAAGTTGTGGCATTTTACTGATATTTAAACTGTTATCGCTTTATACTTGCTCTATAATTATGGGCCAAACTGTTCTCTTTTAATACCTTCCAACAAGCTTATGGTAAAGTTAAATAGAAAAAAAAATAATAATATTCTAAAATGTGCTAAATTTATGTTGAATCTATAAAATTATTATGACTCTGGGATGGTAATTTTTTCACTTTACAGAGAATCAAATATATCTGTATGTAATTGCTTTGGAGCGTCAGTGAGTCATAACAATTATACATTGCTCTATCGTTTACAGACTGACATGAAGAGGGTGCTGTAGCTCTGCGGAGATGTCTAGCTCTTGCAGAAACTCATACCTTTCCCAGAGCTTTTGGTTTTGTGTCCTTTTTTTTTCTGGTTAATCTGTACATTTCACCCTTTAGCATGTTTTATTCTCTCCCTTATATCTTTTGTCACCGTGCCAGAAAATTTTAAATGTATCCCTTCAAGTGGAGATAATCAATGCAAATCAGAGGTACTGGATCCCAAAAGCTTGATTCTCAAACAGCATTAAGCTTCAGGAGGTCATGTTTTCAAAGTCCAACCTCCTGCTTCATTTTTTTCTCATTGCAGAACTGCTGTATGCATGGCATGAGAGAAAGGATTCAATTCACTGCAATTGCTGCCTGATTTCACAAAGAATTTTTCTCTAAGGGACTTAAATTTCATCTAAATTACAAAGGTAGGTCATCCGCAGAATAATATCACTAGTAAAAAAAAAAACAGAAAAAAAAAAAACAACCAGTGTGCATTTCTATACTTGGATTATATATGTTTTAATATGGAATGAATGCAATGTATGACATATTAGCACATTGCCACAATGTACCCTTGTATTTTGATATTAACAACCTACACGCAAAGGCCTTCGATAGCACATGATTACAAAATGGCTGCCACTCTTATGTTATTTAAAGGCAAACACCCCATACAAACAGTGGTATGGGTAGTAATATTAAGTGCCTGGATTCCAAGCATTTTTACCTTTCCAGGTGATGTTGCAGAAGAGATGCATGCTTGTGACACAGGTAACGTTAACAGAATGTGGTGTATGATAATGCAATTAATAATTTTTATTTAAAGTTTAATAAAGTATTGCTTATATGGAACTGTGGTATCAGCCTAGAAGTACTTAAAATATATTTAATTATTTGTGATAAAGAAAAAATAAAAAGCAGTTACTTGCTACAGAAGAATGGTCACAATTGTTATTCTAGATTTATTCATGAAATAATGTGCAGAATATAATTAAGATTTCCGATTTCTAATGCAGTTTTAGAGAGGGCTGCCGACGGATACTGTATTCTATATGTGCATAAATATGTGACTATCACATGTAGGGGAATAATAAAGGGGTTTTTTTTCTTATTGTTTTTAAAGCAGGTCTGCGGAATTAAGGAATAAGCTATGAGCTTAAGTCATGGCTCATTAGACCACTTATAAGGGAGGGCAATGAATGATGACATAATTAGACTGTGCTTTTCTTCAATGAAAGGTGCCTGTAAATGGAGGTATTAATCATATCAAGGTCAAACGAATAAAGGCATAAATACATTTTACCAGATGTTTGTGTTATGACAGATTTTGGAGCTGGTTCTGTGTCTGTGTTTTGTGTCTTTAAATTACCTGGCATTAGTTTAAACAATATCTAAAATATGGCTAGGATGCAGTTTAATACAATTTTCAGCCACCTGTCATTCAAAGAGTTAAAAGTGTTTTCTGTTAAGGTATATAATGTTTAATTAAAAAAAAAAAACTATCAAGAGGTAGCTATGTATATGGTATAACACTAGGCATTATGCAGTGATAACATTTAGTGATTGCATCATCAGGAAGGTTGCTGGTACTTCAAGAGTTAACCATTGTATCTTCACATACAGCTAAGATACTTGCATTGTTCAAGGCTCATTCTGACCTTGTTCAAGTATACAGCGTTATCATTGACCTATCTACTCTACACCAAGCAATCTGTTATTTTTATGACTATGCAATCAAATATGTATTAAGATCAAATAAAGAATGCAATATGAATAACATGTCTCTAGCATTGTCTTAAATCTGTTTCTGATTATTGCATTTCATCTAATATACTCTGTATCTACATTACAACATGGAAAATGTTAGTTCTGCTCGTGAGCCACGATGGGAATTAGTTACTGGAGCACAGATAAGAGTAATACGCATTCTTTGTTTTGATGATATATGAAAATTTTTTTGAATTGTGGAGAATTATGATGTTTTGTTAAGAGAAAAATAAATCCAGACAGAGATGGGCAAATTGTCTTCAGCTGCCCGCCTTAAGAAGTAAAAGAAAAATTAATAATGTTGTTTTAATTATGTGCCTAGAATTAATATATACATGGTTACTGGAGAGATGCAAGCAACCTATACCAAGTTAAAAAGTTGAAAAAAAAGAAATTCACCAGAACAACAGAGTTACACAATTAAAATCTACAAAATTGGATATTTTTATTTAACTCAACTATTTTGATTAATATTTTTAAATTGCCAATTTACTAAAACTTGTTTTTCACTTGATTCACCCTCCGGTAAATATAATGGTATTAAACGGTCTGCTTTGGTTAATATCTTTGTGCAACCTTTTTAGGAAATCCTGCTTCAACCAGACTGAATCATTAAATGTTGTTATCATAAAAGGAACTGCATTAAAGGATGAGTCAGATTCAGATAAACACCATACTAAGGACAGATTTGGTGGATAGTTGGACCTACTAAAACTTACTCACAACCAGGCCAGGAGCAGTAGGAATCACCAAAACCATCAGTCCACACTCATAAGGAACTCATGATAATTGACAAGCTAGATCTTGGAAAGTGCATACTTTATTGTAGAAAAAAAATGGTCAACAAGATAATAATAATAATAATAATAATAACAAAGTATTTAACCAGGAAAGGTACATTCAGATTATTCTGCTTTTCAAGTACGTCCTTGGGATGTTACCTTAGCCCAACATCCAGGGGTTGTCACTTTTAACCAATCTAATGGTACTCATTTGATCTACCTCAATGCCATAACAACATGTGCAAACCTCATAAGTAACAGGCAATCAAAACTCTTAAAACACATGTCAATTAATTCAGACTCTTTCTACTCAGGGGAGTCCAAGATCTGAAAAATACAAAAAAATACAATAATACAAAAATACAAAAAACTAAAATACCTACACCTGCCAAAAGGGGGAACAAAATTCTGAAAAAAACATACAGTAACTCTGGATGCGTTTTGTGCCTGTCCTAGTAAACCTAGTAATCGAATACATAAAACACAAAGAAATGACCAATGGACATAAAATCCAGAGGACAAAGCAAAGTTCCTATATGAATATAATGTAATTAAAATTAAATTTATTTATATATGTTTAAAAAGGAATGGTAATTGAACCAAAAAGACAAAACAACACTAAAAAAAGGAACCTCTTAAACACAAAATAAAGGGGAGCTCATAAGCTCCAAGTAAGAAATATGGTAGAAGGGGTTAAGGAGCAATGGAAGCTGCTTGATAAGATAGAATGATAAGATAGAGACAATTATCAATCCTAATTGTATATAGGCTACAAGGTACAGAGAGTTTGAACAATATAATATCTACAGGATAGTACAGCAAGGAAATATATAATGTAGCCATTAAGTCAAATAACCTAAGGATAGCAGAGGGATAATGTCTCTGAAAAATATTATATAGCTAAGCTTTCATTGAACATGCTAAACACTGAATCGACTTCATGGTCGCTTTCTGAAAAAAATAATATTGTAATGAAGGCAAAAAGCTAGGTTGATTGTAAAACAGAGACAAGTATAAAGTAAATCAGTCTGTTATCAGGTAGTTATGGTGAGTAGAAAAAATATACTCACAGAGAGGTTGAACCCAATAGCTCAGTTGCTAAGCAGTATAATACCTATGAAATGATGCCTCAAGGGAATATATAGAATGTTGCAAAAAATTCTATAACCAAAAAATTGCGAAAGGATACTGGCTCTAAAGATGATCATCAATGCATCCTGTTGTTTTTACAAAATAACAAGTTTAAAAGTAATGGTCCACTGCACCCAGACCACTTCATTGACTTTATTGGTCCTTTAGGTGAATAAACATAAACCTTTCAATACATTTAACTTCCATGAAAGTGTTACTCCAGACATCATGAAAACTTCAGGGAGTTGAAGTGGTCATGGTGGTAGGAGTCTGGATGGGCAGTGTTTCTGCTTAAAATATGTGCACTTCTGTGCCAGGGGACTTGGAAAGCCCAGATCTCTGTTCTGGCTACTTAATGTCTATTCTGTGCATATTTTATGTCTCTCGTCAGTGCTTTCTACACACTGGTGACAGACGTAATAATTTTCTCCCTTGCAGGCAGAGTGCCTGAAAGGGGAAGATGGCTCTCCCCTCCCTACCTCCCTCTCTGTGTGTGCTTCCTCCGGCCTCTCGCCAAAACTTGAATAGGTATTTAAAAAAAAAAAATAATAATAATTGTCAGTTACAATAGAAACATGGCTGTATGTTTTGTTATAGTATTCTAACATGCTTTGCAGGCCATGAATGCTGTTAATTGTAATCGTATTTTATGTTAAAAATGTTAAAATGAAAATTAGTTTGTTGTACAGCAATTATCATCTCTATCTATTTTATCTCATCCGTGAATAGCTAGATATTATGTTTGCTATTTTATTGTCGAGCCTTGCTATTCATGAATAAAATTTAATGTTTAAAAAAAAAAAAAAAAAAAAGGACACCTAGCGTAAATGATGTCGGCAGCCAATCAAAAGCTATGATTAGCAGAAGAACTCCCAGCTTTCCAAAATACAGGAAATGCGCTCTCAGAATTGTCTGTGTCAATCGTGCCAGGCTCAGCTGTAAATCTTTATTTTTTATATAAAAAAAAAAGCAAATAAAAGTGCTGAACGAATGTAAACATTATTAACACAAATAATGTATCTAATACTACAATCAGGCTTCCCCAAACTCAGGCCCTCCAGATGTTGTTGAAATACAACTCCCATGATTTTCAGCCTATCTATTTCATTCATAGAATCATGGGAGTTGTAGTTCAGCAACATCTGGAGGGCCAGAGTTTGGGGAAGCCTGTAAACTACATGCTGGGAGAGGGGGGAATTTACTATTTCTGTTGGAAAAGCTACTTTATCATAGGGTTATCTTACAATGTAACACATGCACATGTTTCTTTCCAAAGACAACATTCTGTTTCTTTAATTTTGTTAAAATACAAAATCATTTATAAAATAACAAAATAACAAAATCATTTATAAAATAACAAAAAAATATTACTAGGTTTGATCTCACTTAAATATATGTTAAGTGTCCTTTTGCCTATCCTTTTAGTTTCATTTTTGTGACGATTATAACACTTATAAATGATTTCCTAGTTCATCTGTCAGTTCATATGCCATTAATGTGTACCTTACATGCCATCTGTTTGAAACAATTGTGACTATGCTCTGTTGCCTGTTTTTTTTTATTTTTTATATTGCTATTAAATCGTCACTGTTACCGTCTAGAGACCTTGCTAAATTCGTAAAGACCCCGATGGTGACATCGCCTCTGGGGGTCCGCTGGCCAGGCAGGCAGATAAAGGAGAGGTTTCCTTACCTGAACCTATTCCTTGCAGGTGCGGCCATCTTGATCTGGTGGGTCCTCTTCTGTACCAATGCCACATAGACACAGCCATTGACTCTGCCCTTAGAGATGGAGGAGAAATACAAACACAGAACCCCTACCTTGTCTCTGCACATTTCTTGACTGGGCTGTTAAAATGAGTATATCATAAACATTCTATTTTTATAAAATATTCATTTTTCAGGGGGGGTGACAGTGCCGATTTAAAGTTACACATGATAGTAAAAGTGATATAGATTTACCAAATAATATTATTACAAAGAATATATGTTTAAAAAATTGTCCAACTCTAAGCATGATAACCATTACAGCCCTCTATAGTGATTATGATGCCGGGAGCCCAGTTCCCAGTTCCACAGCCAGAAGCTGAGGGGGTCAACATTCATTGACTGAGAGCGTTATCTGACCACTTTCAGCCAATGATAATCACTCTGTGCACCAGAGGTTATTTCAAAGTCAAACACTGCACATACTGACTCCAGGCATCACAGCTACTTCAAATCACTGAAGTGGTTATAGTGCTTGGAGTAATCCATTGAGGCCTATTTTATTTAGAGCTACTTCAGCTCATCTATTCAGTTAATAATTGTGAAATTCTATCCAGTTATTTCTATCATTATAAATATGCTATTTTGTATTTTATATGAGCAGCAGGTGCCTAAAATAGCAAAATGTTGGGTTTTTAGCCTGTCAATCAAATATATTTGGAAATAATGGTAGAAATTGATGCATATATAAGCTCCAACTGTGTTTGCATTGCAAACCACACCCACCGAAATCTCTCTCTATCTGTGGTTCTTAATATACACCTGTCAGACTCTATTACATGTGTAGATAAAAAGAAAATAGCATCAGTGTCTTCTATTTTTACACTCCTCCATAAAGTAGAGGCTAAAATAGACAGCAAACCACAGCTGGAAGCATTTTTGAGTCAGATAAAATCTGCCAAAATATATTTTACTGCTTGTGTTGTGCTCATCAAATCTAAATTGGTCTGAAACACTTTTTTTTTTTAAAGAAAAAGAAAAAAGTAAAATGACTAAGACTGGTTTCAGCTAGTTTGAATGGTATTTGGCTTAGAGAAAAAAGATACAATTTTGGGATGATTTATCATTTACAAGTGCAATTCCGGGTCCACAGTTGCTAAATGTTGATAATCAATTGATTTTCATGATGACTGAAGTACTATTTAGCACAGGGGTGCCCAAAAGGTAGATCCACAGATGTTGTAGAAGTACAACTCCAATGATGCTTTGCAAACCTTTCGAGTGTTTTAGAATTGTAAAGCATTATGGAAGCTGTAGTTTTGAAACATCTGGAGATATACCTTTTGGGCACCCCTGATTTAGCACTTTGCACAAGAATAGCACCTGCTTTTGCCTTGTTAAATCTCCCCCATAACTATTGCAATTAAGAATGTTTAATTATAGAGTGCACACAAATACTAGAGGGCAAAATATAGCAAGTAATATGTATTATAAAACATACATTTATACACAGAGAAAAACAGTATCATACAAGTTCTAAAAACTTTGCCAGCAAATATATCCAGTTGGTGGGTGTGGGGTACAACTAGAACATGTTATGCAGGCAGTGGAGGGATGACAACTCGTAGATTGCGGGGCAAGCACAATAAGGTTTTTTGTTTTGTTTTCTCAAAACTCCTATATAGAGCATGCATTTGACAGATGGATGTTGTTGGAGTTGACACCATCCACCTCTGAAACCTCGACCAATATGATCTGGGTATTCACAGAAAGAGTTGTGCATGTCTAAGAGACACAGATTGTTTCCAGAAACTCCACTGCTACCAGTCTCTACCAGCATGTGTTACAAATGTAATGTTCATGTTTTTATCTCACCCATCAGTCACTTGTAAAGAGCTCCAGGAATATCCAACTTATCATATTGGCTTCTTGATTGACCCCAGATACTGCACTTCACCAAGAGACAGACATGTTGGCTAGTCCAGGCCTAGAGAACATTGAGACTGAAGGCATCAGCTCGTGCACAAACCCACACGATGCTTGGCTACTAAAGGCTCTGCACAATTCCTGCCTTCTGTCTCACTCCATCAGTAGTTTGGCAAGAGACATACCAATGCACTTCCTGCTATTTTAACCTGCAGAAGAAAGCTGCTGGAATTTAGATCATAATCCCTATTTACTGGTGGTTTGGGAGGTAATTGTCAACCGGCCTCACTTACCTGCATGCTCTTGTGTGCAGAAGTATTCCATTGGTTTCCGTAATTGTCGTTCCAATTTTAGAATGTTGTGTTATAATTTCTCTTCATTCATCAACTGCATAGAACATATTAATCAAGTATTACTATTCTTTTTAATTTTAACCATAAAGCAAATCAGGGACTTTGAAAAGCAAATACAAAGCTGAATTTCCTTTATATTAAAACTTTTAATGTATGATAAGTGTATTCAATGGATTTGTGTGTTCCTTCCCAACAACATGTTTGCATGTACTAACACAATTTAGCCCACATGTTTTCCCCTTTTCCCCCCTGCAAATTTTCACCCAGCAGAGAAGCATTTTCCTCTGGTAGGACTTTGTGTCCCTCTGTACTGTTGTAGACATGCTATGTTTTATGGACACCCAACTCCAACATTCTACAGAAAGATTTATTAGGTCATACTGCATGTCCGGATTCTAACAGCAAGTGATCAGAACAAAATTAGTGCACTAC